TTTAAATAAAAAAATTAAAAATTAATATTTTTATTTAAAAATTAACAAAATTAATATTTTTAAATAAAAAAATACAAAATTCACATATTTATTCGCTCCATTTCTCGGAAGAATACTAATAAATCATATTCCCTACCCATTGGCCGCCGGTTAGTAGTCATTAGTAAACACCCACGCAGCCTGCAGTCATACATACTTAGCCATGGAAGACTCTAAGGAGCAACATTACCCATTGAGACTTGATTTATTGCAGGATTTTGTAGCATGATTTTGTTGACATATCAGTATTATGCAGTATATCCCAAAGCGATGAAAATTTTGATCCCTTACCAAATTTACATCCCCAAACCAATGAAAATTTTGACTACTTAACAAATTTACATGCCCGCAGGGATAGTAACGAAACATCTTCCTCTTGAGATATTAACCATTCTAATGATCAATGAGTTGTAAAGGCATACCAAAAGAAATTGACGAGTTACCAAAGGGAAGAAGGAAAGAAATTGACCAATGAAGGATTACACGATTGCAGGAGAAATTGAATCCCTCGCATGATTAAGTATTTCATACAAGAGAAGACAGCAAAACACAAAGGCAAACGCACACAAACAAACCAAAATGAGATTGGTGACCCGCACAAACCATCATATATTAGTCTGTAAATATCACACCGGGGGATAATATTCACCCCGTGAATCCACAGATATAACAAATCAAGGCAAGACTGAAATGTATAATTCAAAACAACAACCCATAAGGAGATAAGTTCCAAGTTGCAAATTGCTATAGACACTACATTAGATGAAACAGACCGTAAGGAGTTCCCATTGCCCACTAGGCAATCTATGCTCAAACGGAGCCAGAGCGACTCTTAATGACGTCAAGCCCCATCTCAGTAGGATCAGTGGCTTGCAACTCTATCTGGATACCGTCCAATTCCCTTTTAAACCTGTCCTTGGAGCTGGCATAAATCATTTTGCTTCTCACTTTTGATGTATCAGGCGACCTTCATATGTTGAACATCAAGGGATAAATGAACAAGAGAAAAAAAAGTATATATCACAAAAAGCCTAATGAATATAGCATCACTTGAAAATATTCTTGAATTCAAAAACCCTACCAGGCAATGAAAACAATCCTGCTCTTCTGGCAGTTCTCTTCTGTCACAAAATCATAGTCATAGACGGCATATCGACACTCATCAGCAGGAAGACTGGCAGTGAAATCCTCATAACTATTAGCTGGTTCACCAAGCTTTTCCACAATCACCTGCTTCTCCTCAATTTTGAACACAATGAAGCGGTAAGTCCTCTTAGCCTTCAGTTCTAAAAACTTAAGCTTGCAATCATCATGCACAGCTATTCCCGATGCCGCATTTGCCTGCAGATTAGATAAACAATAACATGTGTCATATGCCAACCCCAAAAAAAAAAAAAGTCATATATCAGCCAATGGCCAAATATATATAATTCACCTTCTAGAATGGTTTATGTTATCTAAGCCCCTCAAATAATTAAGGGGAAAAATCAGGATGATAATAACATGCTGCATTTTTGGCCTTCTACTCATGTCTAGATTACTACAATGTATATAATCCCAGTTCCAACCAACAAACTTGAAAACGATTTTACATCATTGCTTTACCCAAAAAAATGTTTCTCCTGAAACTCTTGATTCCATAAAAATTTTCTTATTGCACCACGCAGGTCTATTCCATTCTCATGCTCTTCTCCATTTCTTTCCTATGATAATCCAAAGTATTTTTAAACATCAAAACACTACAATATACCCTCAATTTGATTAATTCCTATAAAGCAAACTCTACCCACAGCAACCAAAATAAATAGAACCCGGCAAACTAAAGATATTTGTTCTATAAATGGATTCATAAGCCAAAATCTATAGGCATTAAACATCTAATGAGCACAGCTAGAGACAAATGCTTCTTTTCTTTTACCAAATCAACCTATGTCCTAGTAATAGAGAATCAGAATCGTGATACCGATATTTAACAAACAGCAAAATCGATTAAAGTAAAAACTAAGATCAAACGATGAGATGCACCAAAATCATTTTAACGAAACAAACGCAAAATCAGATCGGGAAAATCTGAAAACTTCAAATTAAACCCCGAATACAGCCATAAGAACCTTATTTCACGATAAATCAACAGTCAATTGACAGATCGAACGCAAACTAAAATCAATTGAAGAAAAGAATTAAAGAAAATATAAATATCGTCCCAGCAAAAAAATATCGAAGGTCCGCGAGAGAGGAGACTGTAGCAGAAAAATGAGTGACGAGAGTGCTTACCATTTTCCCGAGAAAATAATCGATGAGAAATTGAAGGAAAGAGCGAGAAACACCGAGAAAATCTAGGGCTCCCTCGAGACTTATTGAGAGAGAAACAGGGATGTGGTTGATAAAGATAGACTTTATTTTTGGTTTTTGAAACGCGAAGCCTTTTTTTTTTTTTTTTTTTTTTATTTCACGTTTGGGACCTTTTGGTTCGCGTGAGGTGGCCGTCGCTGGCCTACCGTGACGGTGACAAGCGAGCAGTGCAACCAGCCAATGATGTAACGCCACGTGCCTTTTGCCGTGGAAAAAGCGTGCCACATTTTTGGACGGTGACGGGCCCAATTTGTTCTACCGGGATGGTGACCGTTTTGCAAACTCCCAAATTTGATTTTTTTTTTTTAATTTTGCCTACAGCGTAGGATAATTATTCCATATTTTTTATTTAATTTCACTCATATATCATATAATTTAAATTTAAAGTTTTTTATTTTTACTTTAATTACATAATAAAAAATAATTATTTCATATTTTTATCTCATTTTATTCACATATTATACAATTTAAACTTAAAATTTCTTACTTTTAAATAAAAAAAATAATTATTAAATTATTTAAATTATTGATAATTTGATATCTTTTAAATACGCACTAATTCATAAAAACATTTTTTTTGATCCAGTGGTCACTTTTTTTTCATAAAAGATTTCTCATTCTAAAGTTTCATTCCAAACCTTTAAGAGTTTAGTGTTTTTAAGTAGAAACACTTCAAATTTGATATTTGAATTTTTAAGATAATTTTCCTTTTTTTCTTGTAAAATATTAAAACTATTTGTAAACTTGTTTAAAAAATATAAACACCAATTTTGCCTCACATGCTCCGGCCTAATAGCTAAGATTATTGGCTAGTGGGTGACACTTCCCATGCGTTACATTTTCTCTAATTCCATTTATATCTTAAATATGTAGTAATTACTTTTGTTTCAAAATAATAATAATAATAATAATAATAACCAATTTCCCTTTAAACACGACAACAGAAAATTTAATTGAGTTTAGTCCAACAAATTTTTGTTTTTAATGACTAACAAAAAAAAAATGAAAATAAGTGAGTTACAATGTTACTCTTTATAGTATTATTTAATGTGATGGGATATTAAACAAATAATTATGTAATTAATTTTTCAATTGTAATATAATATGCATAAACCAATATGTATCAATTCATTTGAACGTTATATTAGATTGTAGAACCAAATTTTACTTTTGAACGTTATATTACTTTTGTATCTTGAACAACCAAGAAGAATAAATTGAGCAAATTGCATTTCTCTGAAAAACAATACATCAGCCAATGATAAAAGTAGCAAACAGAGGAGAAAGGCATTTCTCTGAACAGTACGTCTATTCTAAATTTTTATCATAAAAATGAAAGGTACAACTGGAAAGAAGAATAAAAGTAAAAGTTTAACTATAAATGGCCATGATAGCTAGGGGTATGCAGAATTAAAAATTAGCAGGTGTGATGGCTTTTCTCAAAATGGCATTGTAATTTATTTGCTCTTCCTTCGTCACTTTCTGTGTAAATTTGAGGGGAACCAAACATAGTCCTCTGCTTCTCAAATTTTGCTCTTTGCTTCCAGTTTCCTGTTCAAATTCATAACCAGTTTTCTTAGAAAGTCAGCAAAATAAATGCCAATGTGAAAATTTGATTGCAGTTAAATATCATGCTTAATTACCTGTGTCTGAAGTACTGCAGCACTACTATACGAGCTACTAAGCATCTTATACAAGTTCTGTACAGAAGATTATGAGCAAGAAATGAAAACAATGAAAATTTCTTTTTTTTTTTTTTTTTTTTTTTTGGTCTAATTAGATATTGAGTTTGGATTATTAGTCGGATCGCTAAGATACCTGGATTTGTTCTTGAAGAAGCTTGATATACAGAGAGGCCTCTTGAAGTACTGAAGCTGTGTCAGTCTGCAATAAGTTCAAGAAACCGGGTCATTTGCCTTTTCAAGTTGAAATTGGACACTTGGAATTTATGGTGTTAGTATCAATTTCTTGCTGAAGTGTACAACTGACCTTGCCATATGGGGAAACCAGCTTTTGAAGAGTTGTGATCTTGTCACTTAGCTTTTGGCTTCTCCTCAGCGGCACCTGCAACTGCAGAAGCAAAAGGAAATGAATTAATTGTTCTTGCTAACTTCCTGTTTACTGTAAAAACTAGTTCACTAAATGCATATTCAATACCCTTTGCTCTCTGATTTCTGCCAATGCTCCCATGAGTTGATAAGGTTGCTGTGGTTCAAAAGCAGACACTTTCCTTTTCCTATTCTCCTTCTTCTCATTTAAATTGGTATTGTTTTCAACCAAACCACTGATCACATTCAAGGGCGGCAACAGATCACTAACCCCAACTGGACATTTCCTTGCATTCTGTATGTTCTTAATATCCTGAAAGAAAACGAATCAAGATAAAAGTTGAGAATGATCCAGGCCTTGACACTTCTAAAACAAATATTTACATAGAAAATCTAAGAGGACTATCCTTGATTGGTAGGATAAAAACAAGAAAGAATCAGAGTATACATACCCATTCAAACTGTAGAAATGCAGGATCAGTGGCAAGCAAACTTGACTGTTGGGAAATGTTATCACAGCTGAGGTTGCCAGATTGATAATCTAACACCAAATAAGGATTTCATTTTTATTATTTCTTATTAACTTTACCATTTATATACAATCAAAGTCAGGCCACAATTGGAGAAGTCAAAAAGTATTTCCCTAATGTTTACAAGTCATGGAGAAGTTAACCAAACCTTGTTGATAGACGAAAGGGGTCACATAAGGAATGGAAAAGGACTCATTTAGCTGGTAGCTGCTGCTGAATACTTTGGACTCCATAGAAAAAGCATCCCCATAAACATTTCTGCTAAAAGATTGCGTAAGATGAAATATTCAAAACATCTACAGTTTATAATTCATCACAAAAGAAGGTACATTACTCAAATGCTTATGGAGAAATCTTGACAAATGAATGGTTAAGTCATAGGTGAAATTCAAGTAAATTAAGAACAGAAGAGAAAAAGGAAGCCGGCCAACAGATTGAGGTTTCCGCTTTTTAGGTTTGAAACTTTGAATTGTATTCTCAAGCAGTATTTAAGACTATTAAATGCAGGACCAATTGGTTTTCTTTCATTTCCATCCCTGAACTTGTTTTTATTCTATATTGAGGTATCTATCAATGCAGGTTTAATAAAATGCTTGCTTTTTACCTTATTTCTAGGCAGTACACTGAGATCATATATTTGTTCATAATAAAACATAATGGAGGTAGAGAATACATACCCCTTGCTTTCCATCTGCATAATGACATCCAAATTTGGCATCTGAACTTCATCATTTTCTAAAAATGATAAACAAATTCAAATCATGCATCATTTGATCAATCAAGTTTGTTCTCAAAAGTTTGCCTATTGAGCCTGAGAATAGGAGTTCAAAAGATCATTACCAACGCTGTAGAACTGTGAGGACACCGGTGGAGGGAGAGCATTCCTCATCTCAATCAATCTAGCTAGATTCTCTTGAAAGGAACAGATTCTATTTCTTAATACTTACAGATTGGAAGCATGAACCTTGAAGCTCTCTAAGCTTTGAGCTGAGAAGCCTATAGAGTATTGAAAGCCTTAAATGAGAAAGATGGGGAAACGCTTCAAAACAGAGTGAAATGACATGCAATTTCTCCTTAGTTTCATCCTGCAAATTCCTAACCTATATTAAACACATGATACCAATAAAAGAAACTTCAAAACACAAAAATCACAGAAAACATCTACAGAACAAACAAACTGTGCTCAAAACCTATATGATGAATTGCTGATCAAAAGTCAAAAACTTTGCTTAATAATTATCATGGGAATTCCCAAAATATAGTAACAGATTTCTGTTCTTTTCCAAAGGAAGAAACTTCAGAACAGAACAATCACAGAAAACATCTCCAGAACAAACACAGGAACTAAATATGCAGTATGCTCAACACCCATTTGATCAAATGCTGCCCAAAGCTAGGTTTATCAACAAAGACCCAGCTTTCTCACCTCGGATCCAGCAAGCAAAGAAAGACCCTCTTCGGATGAAAAGAAGGACACCCTTAAACCCTTCACTTGCGTCAACAGAACGAGCAGAAAAAAGTAAAGAAAAACCGTGTAATATAGTGTGATTCAGTAGAATTCTCCGGGGATTCTTTGAGTGTAACAACGGTTATTTCCTTTGAAGGAGAGTTGTATGGGCGGAGATCATTAATGGAGAGCATGGGAAAAGACTATGAAACGTCCAAGATGACTCATGAAACGCTTCTTTAGTCTGTATATATGATGAGTAGGAGGGAAAGGGGCGGCTAACTCTATGACTAGCATTAGCAAGACATAATTTTTCTGTTTCATTTCGCTTTCGATTGACTTATTTTCATTAGTTCAGGGTAATTATTACATTATTAACATGTTTTAAAAACAATAATATTATTTAGTCAAATTTAAGTTTACTGTTTGGAATCCTTAAAAAGCTTAGATGATATCACTGCATATGTTTATGTCAAACGTGCATTTAATATCCTTACGATAGAAATGGTCATAAATTTCTCTGCATTTTCCTATGAAAATGAAGCCTACTTTTATAGGAAAATTAAGCCTAGCTGGTTTAAGGAAAATGGGTCCAATCAACCAAAGTTGTTCTAAAATTAAATGATATACGAATTGATATTCAATTCATGAATTAACATATCACTATTAGTACTAATAATAATTTAATTGAGTTGGTAAAAAATATGTATATATAAAGTTATTTACTATACACATTTCAATCTTTTAAAAATCAATTCCTTAGTTAAGAATTTAAATTTTAATATTAAAAATTTTAGATTCAAATATTAAGATGAATAAATAAGAATTCTTAAAAAAAAATCATAATTATTTTTTATAATATAATCTCTTTTTTTTACATACCATACTCATTTTAATTGAGCTTAACTCTAGTCTCTATTGTCGCTCGGGTGGCGGAGCAAATTAAGGATAAGACTTTCCTCAAACTAGTTGGTTTAGCATGGTTTAAGAACAAATTAGTCGAAGATTACTTAGAAAATTTGTTTAATATGACTTAAGTATGGCCTACACTTAATTTGTCCTCCTTATGTGGTTGTTGTTTCTTGTCTTTGCATGTTCCATGGACCCTCCCTTTGAAATTATTTGACTTTTACCCTTCTTCATTGACCCCCGTGCCCATGTAGAACTGTAATCATACATTCATCTTTTATAAGTTTATAATTGAGTTTGTTTAGTTAATTAATTGAGTTGAGTTAGTAGAAAATTACATAAGTTTTGACAAAGTTAAGATTTGAATTCAATGTAAAATAAATTTATTTTATTTTTTATGTTTTGTGCCTGCATTTTGCAAAAATAACTCGTGCAGTCAACACATGCAAGAATATGTTCATCGAGAGGTAATTATATAATTATATATTAGGTATTAACCTACTAACTACCTTAGAATAATTGTTGCAAATATTGATTTTTTTTTTTTATACGTTTACCTAACACATCCCGACAGTTTTTAGTGGACAAATTACATGTGCAGGCCAATAGCATGTTCACTTTCAACGGGCCACTATATTTTTGTTTTCATAATACATTTGTTAAAATTGATTTCCTACGTTAATTAAACATATTACATAAATAGTCAACTAAAAGTCAAAAATATTAGGCAAAATATATTAAAAATCCTACACTGTACTATAAAATATGAACTATTAGATAAGAAAGAATTTTTAATATCAAGAGATCAACTTTTATTTAATTATTAATATTTTATAATTTAATATACTTTAAATATTTTTTCATAATCTAAGTTTTTAGTCCGATAAAGTGTTAATTTTACTATTTGTCCTGCATGGATAGCAAAAACGTCGGCCCCATGATTGATGGGGTTTTGATAAGGCTGGTAACAAACTCCATTGGTCATAGACAGGGGCGGAGGTAGAAATTTTCTTCAGTAGAAAAGATGCTAAAATTTTCAAAGTTCAAGGGGAGCTAGATAATTTTTTATATACTAATTATATACTGATTTGTAAAATTTTCAAATTTCAGGGAGGCGAGCCCCCTCGCACCCCCTGGCTCCGCCACTGGTCATAGAATTGAGATGTATACAGTCCATGCAAGACGGACTGCAAAAAACAGAACATTTCTTTCCAGATTAGCAAAAAGTTTTGAAGGAAAAAAGAGAGATAGAGAGAGGGCAAAAAATTTTGATACTGGGCCTATTGGGCCAGTTGAGATTGCGGGCTCAAAGTCCACCAGCAACAGTGGATGGTGGGATTTTCACTGTTGAGTTTGTCCAAAAATATCAAAATCCCTAAGTTTGCTCTTTCACTTCCCCAGGAGGAGGGTGTCAAATTGGGCGGGAACCCAAGAGCGATAAGGGCGGCTCTCGAAGCACTCACACACAACTGATTCAATCATCTCTGAATCCGGGATGGGGAAAGATGAGGAGGAAATGCGTGGGGAGATTGAGGAGAGGTTGATCAACGAGGAGTACAAGATTTGGAAGAAGAACACGCCGTTTCTTTACGATCTAGTCATCACCCACGCTCTCGAGTGGCCGTCTCTCACCGTCGAATGGCTCCCGGACCGCGACGAGCCGCCCGGGAAGGACTACTCTGTACAGAAGATGATTTTGGGTACCCATACTTCCGAGAACGAGCCCAATTATCTCATGCTCGCTCAGGTCCAGCTTCCGCTCCAGGACTCGGAGAACGATGCGCGTCACTACGACCACGACCGGTCCGATCTTGGTGGGTTCGGGTGTGCCAGTGGGAAGGTGCAGATTATCCAGCAGATAAACCACGACGGGGAGGTGAATAGAGCTAGGTATATGCCGCAGAATCCGTTCATTATAGCCACCAAGACTGTCAGTGCGGAAGTTTATGTCTTTGATTACAGCAAGCATCCTTCTAAGCCTCCACTGGATGGGGCGTGTTCTCCGGATTTGAGGTTAAGGGGGCACAGCACGGAGGGGTATGGGCTCTCCTGGAGTAAGTTCAAGCAGGGCCATTTGCTTAGTGGGTCTGATGATGCTCAGATTTGCCTCTGGGACATCAATGCCACCCCCAAGAACAAGGCCCTCGATGCTATGCAAATTTTCAAGGTAGTATTTTGAACCTGATTTTTCCTTTGATCCAACGTTGGAGTTATTTTGTGCTTTTGGGTTTTGATTTTGAAGAGTATTTTGGGTAAAATAGGTCCATGAGGGTGTTGTAGAAGATGTTGCTTGGCATCTCAGACACGAGTATTTGTTTGGTTCAGTTGGGGATGATCAGTACTTGCTTATATGGGACCTGCGAACTCCGTCTGTCACAAAGCCTGTCCAGTCTGTAGTTGCTCATCAGAGTGAGGTATTGATGATTTACCGTCAAGTTCAGTTTTTTTAATTTTACTAGAGGAGCTCTAATTAATCAAACTTCATTTTCCTTATTCTTTATATGGTAAGGAAATCACTAGATTGGCTAATAGGATGTATGAAGAAAATTCAGCTATCCTTGGAAATTAAGGAAATAAAGAATCAAAATTCAAAAGAAAGGGTAGTGGTTTACTATATTGGTGATGTTGCAGATTCTCATTGTAAAGTAATAATCTGAATATGTCATTAGTGTTGTCATTCTTTCATTGCTTGAACTGCTTGCAATTTGTAATTTTCATATCAATCAACAGATGGTAAGTTTCTATTTTTTTCCCCCATAAGCAGTAGTGTCTACTGTTTGATTAATATAATGTAATGAGTTTCCTGTGATTATGTTGTAGGTTAACTGCTTAGCTTTCAACCCGTTTAATGAGTGGGTTGTGGCTACGGGGTCTACTGATAAGACTGTTAAGCTATTTGATCTTCGCAAGATCAGCACTGCACTCCACACCTTCGACAGTCACAAGTAAGAAATCCTTCTTGCTATTACCATGTAATAGTATTGTGTATTGGAAATATTCTATGGAATTTTAATTCCTTGTTTTTCTCTTTTGGGTACAGAAAAGATTATCAGACTTGATTTACATGCTTGCTAATTAGGAATTATTATTCTTGTATCTATAACTTCATGTTTGCTGTGATATTCCACAGGGAGGAGGTTTTCCAAGTTGGCTGGAATCCGAAGAATGAAACCATATTAGCTTCTTGTTGTCTTGGTAGACGGCTTATGGTGTGGGATCTTAGCAGGTTTGTCATTGGACTGCCAATGTATATTTTTGTTAAGAATTTGCAGCTAACATCATATACAAGAGGATTTCCTAGTGAACATGATCTTTTGGCAGCCTTAATTCCTTGGGGAAAGTAACTGCGTATACTAGATATGGTCAAACTGAAAGTGTACCTGTATTAATTTTCTTTGTTATTTCACCGTTCTTTCTTTTTTTTGCAATAGTAATAATCACCGACCATCTTGACATGGATAAGTTTCTAAACCATCTGCACTTCATTTACAGGATTGATGAAGAACAGACACCAGAGGATGCTGAAGATGGTCCACCAGAGTTGCTCTTCATCCATGGTGGTCACACTAGTAAAATTTCAGATTTTTCATGGAACCCATGTGAGGACTGGGTTATTGCCAGTGTAGCTGAAGATAATATTCTCCAGATATGGCAGATGGCAGAGAACATTTACCATGATGAAGATGATATACCTGGAGGAGATGAAGCCACCAAAGGTTCTTAATGTGTTAACTAACCATATAACCGAGGAGCCATAAAAGACTGCCCGATACATTAAGGCTCGTGGAGTTGTATTTTAACTCGTTTCATAGTTGGAAATGGTTTCATTGGCTTCATCTCCTCCTATGTTGGGGTAATGGGTATATTATGCTTAACTTAATCCTGTGTTACAACTTATGCCTTGTATCTATTTTTTTAGAGTTGCAGAGCACTATTCGGCCATTCTCCTTTCTCTGACTTTTAAAAGAATTGTTTTTTTTTTTTTTTTTTTTTTACATTTAATAATGGATTATAAAAGATGGGATAGGTTTTTTTTTTTAAAAATTTTTCCTCTTGACTTAAGATTCGAATATTAGATCTCTAACTTGAAATTTTAAATTTTTAATCAGTTAAATCATTTTTTTAAGGGCTTTAAAAGAATTATATGTCAAAAAATTTATTATTTATCTAATAGTTATAATTGTGCAGTTTAGTATAACACAGACTATATAAAACTTTTTTCTTTGTTTATTTACATTTTTTTTCGTGGGGTACATGGATGTTTCTCCCCTTCTTTCTCTAAATCAGTCCTCAACGGTCTAAGGTTAAACTTTAAGACGATGGGCAAAAACAAAGGTTGAACTTAAAATCAAACTCAGAACCCAGCCCAAACTTCTATCCGCCGAAGGCATTTTGTTTAGAGCTGTTCCGTTGGCTGTAGTTTGTCTTCTCTCGTTTCTACTTTTCTTAAATCAAACATGCCTGGTTTTTAAAAGCCTTTATTTAATCAAGCAAGGCTTCATTGATTTTTGTTTTGGACCAACAAACAAGGCTTTGTTTGATGTTTAGATGTGTGGAAAACACGGGCCTTAAAAACAACACCTATCATGGGCTAAGCTCAACATAAGTATGGAGTATGGACTCTGTAAAGCAGGAAAAAGTGGGCTAACCCAAGTGGTTTCGGGTACCAAAGTTATTATTATTCCTATATAACAGATAGACTAGGGTTTCACGCCTCCACTTCCTCAAAGGCGCTCAAAACTCTAGCTCTTTTGCTCTTCACTTCTCTGGAGCCGCCTCTGCATATCCCTACGGTACGTACAATTCTAACCTTGACTTCTAAGATCTCAGGGTTTCATCCTCTTCTATTCGATTCGATTACTCATCCATAATCATCAAAAGTGTAAAAGTTAGTCTTTGATTTTGCGTCTTATTCTCGTTTCTGTTTGGTTGCTGGGAAAATGTTATTAAGTAATTGAAATATCGCATTTCTGTATCCGAAAGGACTATAATTAGCTTGTCCTTGGTAACTTGTATGGGTTTGCAATATGCTGAAGCAAGCAACTAAGGTGCTTGATGGATGAGGATTTCTAATGCTTTTATTCATGTGTGATTTTGAAATTTTTTTTGGTAATCTGTATGGAAAAAGGAATGGAATTTCGTATGCCCTTTATGCTGTTTAGATGTTAATGTTAGTAATTTATGTTGGGACGTGCAAGGTTTCAAATGGTGGTGATTGCCATGACCTTTTATTATGGCAATGTACTTCTTTACTGGAGTGACCCTCTTAGTTTCTCATTAGGGTGGTTTTTGACAAACTTGAAATGGGTCATGAGTGGGGATAATGGTTATTTCTTCTGTAATTATGGTCTGGTAAATGAGTTTTATGTTTGATTGGTTAGGAACTGGAACATCAATAGGGCATTGTTATGGCCCTGATTTGATTGTATATCTTGCTTCCTTTTGACAAGTTTTTACTTTACTTTGTGATATTTTCTTAAATTTTGTAGAATACAAAATGGTGAGAGTTAGTGTCTTGAATGATGCTCTTAAGAGCATGTACAATGCTGAGAAACGAGGGAAGCGCCAGGTCATGATTAGGCCTTCCTCCAAAGTCATCATCAAGTTTCTTTTGGTGATGCAGAAGCATGGTATGTGTTGATGCTGTTGTATCACATGCTAGACCATACGTTCCAGTTCAGCCTTTCTTTTTATATTCTAAGTGTTTGGTTCTGTCTTTGCAGGTTACATAGGAGAGTTTGAGTATGTTGACGATCACAGAGCTGGCAAAATTGTGGTTGAACTGAATGGAAGGCTTAATAAATGTGGGGTTATCAGTCCCCGTTTTGATGTAGGTGTCAAAGAGATTGAGGGTTGGACTGCAAGGTTGCTCCCATCAAGACAGGTCTGCACTGATCAACTATACTCTTTTATTGTCATGTATTTCATTTCCTTCAAAATTTTGCATATAAATAGGTGATTAGGTGTAGTGTAGTATGGTCATTTTGTTAACATCATGTTCATTTTGTGCATGAGGCATAGGTTGTTATTAACTTATTATGGTTTGATCACTGACCTGAGTGTTAATGTGCTGAAAATCTGCAGTTTGGATATATTGTCCTAACAACATCAGCAGGCATCATGGACCATGAAGAAGCTAGGAGGAAGAATGTTGGTGGAAAAGTTCTTGGTTTCTTCTACTAGACTGGGTCTTTTAGTTTTCACAAAATTTTCAGTTTATGAGGAGTTTTGCGGTGTATTTGAAAACCTATTTCCTATAGGATCTGTTTAATGCTTTGATTTTTCTTTTGCTTTTTGTTGGAATGCAAGTAGTGTTTGTTGCGAATATCATTATCATCATCAATTAAAAACAGCAGTTCATGTTGGTTACTGCTGCAGTAAGTTATTACTGATGAATTATTATCTGAGATACATTTCGTGATTTTTCAAATTATTATTACTGCATTATTTAGGTTGTTTTCTAGTTATACCTCTCTTGGAAAGGAAATTATTTATCAAGTTGCAGATCTCCAACGTACCCCTTCCAAGAAATATAATGTTAATTCGTTTTACAAAGCAAATTTTTTTTTTTTTTTTGGGTTAATACCCAATTTGGTCCTTAAACTTTCATTTCAAAACTTAATTGTCTTTTAACTTCACAAAGTACCCAAACTGTCCTTAAACTTTATTTTTTCAGAACCCAAATGGTCCTCAGTGGCAGAGGGATAGGGGTTGAAGATAAGTGAGGGTTAATATTGTAATTGTATATTTTTTTTATTAAATTTATTAAAATTACCAGATCATCATTTGTTTTCCACGTAATTTTTCTGAAATAAAAGTGTTAATTCGTGACAAGTTAACGTGCCAGCTGGGCACTTCGGTCGACTGAAGAATCATTTGGATTCTGAAAAAATAAAGTTTAAGGACAGTTTGGTTTAAGTGCTTTATGAAGTTAAAGGACGAATTAAAGTTCCCAAATAAAAGTTTAGAGACAAAATTGGGTATTAAACTTTTTTTTTTCTCAGCACATACATCCAGATGAATGAGAAAAAAAGGAAAGTAGAAAAAGAAATTTCCTAAGATGATAATCGTATGAATGAACATACAGAAAAGAAAGATGAAAAGAGAAAACCCGAAGTTAAGCATGTAGACAACCAAGGAGGAAAACTGAAGATAAGGTTATTCGATACGTTGCTGTTTATTATGGCTTGTCTTACATAAGTTTAAAGCCATACCTGAGTATAAATGTAAAATACATTGCCAAAGGTTTAAAGTTGCCAAAGGTTCAAAGTTGCCCTGAGGGTGTACTAGCTAGTACTTAACCATCATGACCTTACCTTCTTGAAGAAGAATGTCTCCATTCTCCTCATCCCTTCTGCTGCTTCCAATGAATCCAGTCTCATCATTGCCATGACTGTGAGTGCTGGAATCCATCGGAGGGGAGAAGTCAGAAACAGCCACCTTGAGTGATACAATGGAAGGGGCCTGGAGGGTTTGAGGAGGTGGGCAGGCATTTACCTTTTAATGGAGAGAGATGGGTGGGGGTGGAGGGGATCTTCTTGGCATATGCCTAAAGCATAAACTCTTTATTATTATATATATTCTTTGGTTAATGGGATTCCATAATTTTCCTTGCACTTTTTTTTTTTTTTGGTCTGTAATGATGCAAAAGGGAAATTTGATGCTATAAAAGTATTTTAATTTGTAACAACTTCAGATTTCAAGTTTAAAACTTTAAAATCAAAATTTAATATTTGTGTGAAGAAAGACTTAATTTTTTTAAAAAAAAATTACTTAGTGGAGTCTCCCTTGAAATTCATGTCTCTAGTGGCCTTCATCCTCTTGTCCTAGCATCAAGGAATTGACCTATAAGGCTATGCCCACAACGAGTGATTAATCACCCGCGTGCATTTTTATTTTTTTTTAATGTATGTAATGACTAGGGATTAAATTCTAAATATGTGTATAAAAATACTTGCAACTTTACCACCAGAATAGATTACATGATGAATGGTAACTAAGAGCATATTTAGTTAATGGAATGTCTAGTTCTTGCTCAAACTATAAACTAATCTAAATTAAATACAAATCATGGCCATCGGCGGAATGCCTATTCCATAATTACACCAATTTTCTTAAGTTGAAAGATAGAAATCATAGCAAGGGACTAATTTTTGGATTACATGTCTCAATCGTTTAGATCTAGTATTGTGATTCACATTTTTCCATTTTATTCAATTATATATCTATTAGTCAAAGAGTTCACTGAATGAATGAAAACAATTTGGTGAAAACTTCCAATGAAAATGCTCCAAAATGGTGCACAAAAAATTCGTCTCGGTAAACAATCCAGCTTCTGTACGAGTATAATGGTGGCTCAACTGAAAGCAATCATAAACAAATAAAAAGAGTATCAAATTCAGCAGCAGATGTTATTGTCAAAATTGTGATCGATCTTATGAAGGTCGGTTTTCTTGAGTGCTTCTTAAGGATACTTGATTGGCTCACGTTGCATGGCCTTCTGTATGAGCTCGGTTTGTTCCTTCACATGAACCTGGTAGAAACCCGTGGCTGTGGCAGCCGATGGATCACGACCAACATATTTAATGTCTTCCATGGATCCTCTGCCCAGTGCTTTCATTGCAGTGCCAAGCCGAGGTGAAACGTAATTGTATGCACCCATGTTCATTTGTTCTTCCTGGCACCAAACAATCTCCGCATCTAAAAGAACGGTAAAGAAACAGAGAGATGTCAATAAGATGAATCAGTTTCATTTAAACAAAGTTGGAATAAACAAAAAATCACGAAAAATGGTTGCAAATTGCCTAGCAGCTAGAATAATCAGCTTATTTCACTCACATGGATAAGCTCAACATAAATAAAAATTTAAGAAATACAACAGCAATATGGGCAGAAGCTAGTAAAAGTTTCACTTATAATTCAAAATCAAGGGGCCTTGTTTCCTCACGCCAATATGAGATGGCTAAAACTGGATTACGTTGTTACTTTCCAAATTCTATTACTGGGCAATAAAGAAATCAAGGAGAGTATTGTTCTAATATAAAATGTGTGCACTGCAGCCACTGCTATAGAGGTAAGTTTGAATAACATACTTGGATATCGCTTGAGCTCTCGTTGTATGAGATCATAGGGGAAGGGGCAAAGCTGTTCCACACGGCATATTGCAACATCACTGGCCCCAACCTTCTTTCGCTCTTCATCAAGCTCATAGTAAACCTGAAAGGAAAGAAACATTCAGCTTAGCATCAATAGCAAATGGAAATACTAAACTACAATTTGATGGGAATTAATGATCAAAGGTAATCGAGTAAAGGTGAGCAAAGGAGAGTAACAATTAATGATCTACTAGTTGTTTGCTTTGCACTAGACAGGAGGTGACTCTCCATAATTGGCTTGCTTTTACAAATTGATGGAAGAAGATAACAGATAACAACCACACACCTTCCCAGAGCAAAGAACTAAACGTCTGATACCCTCCTCAAGATCAGAGTGATCATTCTGATCCTTTATAAGCCGCTTAAATCTGGTCCCCTGTTTGTCAAAACCGGGATGGCCTTGAACATCATCAAATTCAGAAAGATTTGATTTACACTCCTTGTGACGAAGCAAGTTTTTGGGGGACATCACAATGAGAGGCTTTCGGAATTCCCTGTGTATCTGTGAAATGAAGCAAGAATGATTAACAAATTGAGAAAAGATTCCCATAACAGATATGTGGAAGTAATTAACCTATTAGCTGCACTCACCTGACGTCGCAAAACATGGAAGTAATTAGCAGGAGTAGTAACATTAACAACTTGCCAATTGCACTCCTGAATCTGTTTACTGAGAGTTGGATCCATCTCAGGGATAACATATGGATTATCATCACTCATCTGCCACAAAATTTATATACATATATTAGTCCAGATTGGCAGTATCACCTAGTGGCTTCAATAAATGCACACACGTTAACACCAATTAACAAAAAATCTGGATGATCAGCACAGAAAAGAGAAAGACAATGTTAAGGACAAGGAAAATTATAAAGTGCTAATGCTTCATCAACATGTCAAGGACAATAGATATACTTTCATGGAAGTACCTGAAGGAAACGCTCTAGTCGTGCACTTGAATGTTCAGGACCTTGGCCATCATAACCATGAGGAAGCAGCACAACAAGACCAGTTTGGCGCAGCCACTTTGACTCACCACTGCTCAAAAATTGATCAAAGATCACCTGAGCCCCATTAGCAAAGTCACCAAATTGGGCTTCCCAGAGAACCAACGAATTTGGATTTTCCATTGAGTAACCCAATTCAAATCCAAGAACACCAAACTCTGAAAGAGAGCTGCATTCAAGAGCATAAATTGCTCAGGGAACAAGCTTTATTTCAACTCAAGTAAAACAAAATAAATTTTCAAGTTAACATGATAAAAGGAGATGCTTTTTGCCAATATACAGTACAGAGTATGGACTGATTCTACACAATACCTGTTGCTGACAGTAAACATCTCCTCATTTTGGTTCATGATAACATGATCCAAAGGGCAGTGTATCTCCCCTGTTTCCTGATCATGAAGTACAGAATGTCGATGACTAAATGTACCTCTTTCAACATCCTGACCGCTCAACCTAACATGGTTACCTTCTACCAACAATGTAGCAAAAGCAAGTGCCTCCCCGAGTCCCCAGTCAATGCCTTCCCCTGTTTCAATCATTTGTGCACGTTGTTCATATACCTTCTTCACTGCTCTATGGGCCTTAAAATTCTCTGGAAGAGAAGTGATTGCTTTCCCAATGTTCTTCAATAACTCAGGTTTCACTCTGCATAATAACACAAAAAAATAACAGTGAGTACAGATTAGAATCAATCAAAAAGAAGTTCATACAGACAAAGAAGACAAAATACCCAGTGTTTCGGATTCGTGAAAGCTGTTCAGGTGACTTAAATCCAGCCCAAAACGCAGAAAGCCAATCCCTTCTTTTTGGAACATAATCTTTGCTTGCTACAAACTCTTCATTGAGAATTGAATTGACCTTCTGATTTATCTTGTCAATGTCTTCCTGGGTCACCTGTCCAGATTCTAACAGTTTCTTCTGATAGAGCTGAAGAGCTAAGGGATGATTTCGGATGACCTGTTTTACACATAATAATCATACAGAACCAGAACATATTAGAGCAAGAAGAGAACTATAGTGAGATTTTAAAAATAAATATTTGAACAAATGGACAGACCTTATACATCTTGGGCTGTGTGAAAAATGGCTCATCAATCTCATTGTGACCAAATCGACGATAACAGACCAAATCAACCACAACATCTGAATGGAAGGTTTGGCGCCACTCTGCTGCAAGCTCACAGACATGAACAACTGCCTCCACATCATCACCATTCACATGGAAAATGGGCACATTCAAGGCCTTGGCAACATCAGTACAATACTGAGAAGACCGGCCTGACCTTGGGTCAGTGGTAAAAGCCACCTGGTTGTTCACAACAATATGTATGGTCCCACCAGTTGTATAGTTTGGAAGTGCACTGAGATGAAGAGTTTCATAGACTACACCCTGTCCAGCAAAGCTACCATCCCCATGGATCAAAATGCCCATGTTCTTGGTCCTATCCACATCATTGGAGTAGTATTGCTTTGCTCTAGTTTTTCCAACAACAACTGGGTCCACAGCTTCCAAGTGACTTGGATTCGCAACTAAAGACAAATGGATTCTTTTTCCTCCTCTAGTAGGTCGATCATAAGAAGTTCCCAGGTGATACTTGACATCACCAGTTCCAGTATAGAGCCCAACTTCATCCACAGGCTTTGTACCACCACTAAACTCACTAAATATTTGACGGAGTGGCTTTCGAACAACATTACCCAGCACATTCAATCTTCCTCTGTGAGGCATTCCAATAACTATGCTCTCAACCCCAAGATCTGCAGAGCGATCAAACATCTCTTTCATGCCAGGAATCAATGTTTCCCCACCTTCAAGCCCAAACCTCTTAGCTGTTGTCCACTTGGTGGCCAAAAAATTTTCAAACTGTGTACTCCATAGTAGCCTATCAAGAATGACCTCTCGGCGCTGTCGATTATATTGGGTCGGTGTTGGAGTCTCGATCTTCTCTCTTAACCAGTTACACTTATTGCGATCAGCAATGTGCATGTATTCATACCCAACACTTCCACAATAAGCCTGCTCAAGCCGATTCAATATAGACCTCAGTGTTTGCACAGGTCGGTTTTCTGATAAAAACCCAGACATCCTCCACACACCTAAAAAAAATTCTCTATCAAGGTCAGCTTCAGTGAAACCATAGAGAGCTGGATCCAAGTCATCTGGGATTTCTCTCTCTTCCAAACCCAAGGGATCCAACTTTGCTTTCATGTGCCCGTTAACCTGGTAAGCCCTCACAAGCAACAGCAAGCGCATACTCTCCTGTATTGTCTGGCCTGAAATTCCAGGGGATGTGGCAGCCTGACCCACAAAATTCCTAAAGAAATTGTCCCATGACTCATCAACACTATTTGGGTCAGCTTCCCAAGCCCTCTGAAGCTCTTCTAGGTAGACACTACTGGTTCCATCCAAGAAGCTATCAGTTAGCTTAGAAAGGGGCACAGGACGAGGGACAGGAGCAGCCTGTGCCTTTGATTTAAACACAGTAGTATGGAAATATCGGTTCTGTGATGGAAGAACCCGTGTTCTTGCTGCATATGATCCACCTTGAGACAAAGACCTCCTAATAGCATGCTTTGCTAAACTAGAACCAGACCTAAACCATGCCATGGCTATTGATCAAAATCAAAATATCTAAAACCACCAATCTTCAAAATTGCAACTTCCAGTCTCAGGCCTTGATCGAGACCACCTGTATTATCTAGCCATAATCAGCCTATTAACCATAATATGTCGACAGAATAAATCCAAATGCAAAACAGAAACAAATCATCTTCCCCAAAATCTAAACGCCACATCAAAATCTACCTTAAGATTATTAACCAAACACTCATGCAACAAGAAATCAAAGGAAAATCAGCACACTTTTGCTTAAACACACAAGCACCAGCTAAATCAACAACAAAAACTAAAAATAGAAACACTTCAGATTACAAAAACGCTATACTGCAAATGATACAGATTCTTAACGTAAAAAAGCAGATTTCCAGTATAATTCAAGCGGTAACCACCTATTCAGGTATCCATAGGAATAGATTAAGGAGTGTTTGGAGGGAAAGCAAGTTACGGCAGTACCTGAAAAATGAGAGAAATGGACGGAAACGGAGAGACCCTAGAGCGCCGGTGACGGTGACGGCTACGGCGACTTCAACCTTAGACGTTTTCAACGACGAAGTTTGGCCATTGACTGCTCGCTTTATAGTTCTCGCCTCTTCCTCCTTTTTCATTTTTTATTAAATGCCTGCGAAATTATTCGCTCCCAATTAATTTTCGTTGCAGATTTATTCATTAAAGTAAAGATATTTAATTTATTGTTATTTTTTTTATATTTTATTTATTAAAATACCTTAATTTTTCTTAAATATATTTATTTCTGTTTAACTTTTTTTTAAAATTTTTTTTCTCCAACTATAATACTACTTATTAATGGATTTTTCTCGATTACACTTTTAAAAAATAAAAGTTGATTCTATTTA